GATACTCGATACCCAGGATGCATAAACATGAACATATTATATTATATATCATGCACAAATTTATAAATTTTAAGTACTAGGATAATTATTCTATTTTTAATATTTTATTTGTATAGTTTTTTTGGGATTACAATCATCATTTAATGTAAATTTGGATTTGATAGATTGTTTATTTCATTTAGCTATAAAATGCTAATTTTAAATATTATTTCTTTTAATTTTTAGTTGGAATTGTTAATCATATACATGTATTGATTGTTTTGATGAACACAAAAGTTAATAAAATCTATTTTATTTCATTAAATAACATAAAAGGCGAGATGGCTTAGTGGCTTAAAGTAGTGTTAAGAGATTCGGCGCTATCATTAATTGATTTGGGTTCAAGTCACAAAGATAAGCATTGAGAAGCTTTTTTTTAGTAGAAAACGTTTGGTCAAGGGGTTTAACAGGTGGGACGGGTCGGAACAGGTTTAACGGGTTTGGGACGGGACGGGTTTGGGAAATTGAGAGGAAAAGTTAAACGGGTTTGGGACGGGTTTGGAGTCAGGGATACATAGGTGGGTTTGGGAATGGGGCACCCTAACCGTTGCCATTCCTACCCCAATTCAGTCTCTACAGTTCTAAAGTTTGCCATATTTGACCCTGTATCCAGAATGGCTCTTTTTCATCAAAAGGAAACATAGAAACTCAGGAGATTACTTGGAGTTCCCTCGTAATAGCCTCTGTAATCACATTCCAGTTAAATACCTTCTCCCCAGCCTTTAAAATCAATCATCTTTCCCAATCTCCTTTATTATTTTCAAATACCAGCCTCTGTACCTTGGGCTAGAAACCGAAAGGAGTTGCTGGACTTCCTCTAGCACACAGTTCTCAAGCGTTCCTTCAATCCAAAGGCTCTCAAAAGAGTTCTCAAAGGGTTCTCCTTGATTGGCAATGAGGATTCTGCAATTAGCCAGTTCACCTTCTTTAAGCGACAGTAAGTCTTGTATCTTCTGTGCCATCAATCTCCATCCCCAACCTTCTTTTTCCTTCTAGAAGACAGATAAGTTGCATTTATTGCTTACAAAAAATCCTGAAACCTCCAAGAACCACCCTTTCTGGTTGTATTTTAGAATCACTTGATACCTTCTTCTTGGAAGTTTCAGTGTGCTTTCCACCTGTCATTCTTAATAGTGAACAAAGCCCCATCAATGAATCCTTTCAGCCATTGTACTGCTTCTCCTATTAGGTAAATAGTGGCTTCCTCTCTCTCCAGATCATCCTCGGTACATCCTCTTTTAGCACAGATCAGCAGTTCATGTAAAAAGAGAATGAAGAATGATACCTTCAATGGAACATGGGCATTATAAATGATCTGCCATGGAAAAGCATCCTCTCATGAAACAAGCATGGAATCATAGAATGATGAATAAGCTTCTCTTATCAATCTTCCACACCCTTGCATCCTCCTCTTCCATCTGAATATGCATATTATTGATCCTACTCAGCAATGATATTAATGCATCTGCTTCCCAATCATTAACATTCCTTCTCAATCTTGCATATCACCTGGTGAGCTAGCACATCATAACGGTCTTTCATTGTGTCATATTTGTTTGTTGCAAGTTGAAACAGTTTTGGAAAGTAATGAGATAGAGGATTTCCCCCACACAAGGAATCCAACCAAAGGCGAATGTATACTCCTTCACCATGCCTATATGCAATATGCTGAAGAAATTCCCCTTGGATTTCCAAACACTGCAACCATACAAAGGAATGTTATCACCTAAATCCTACCCAAAGTGAGAAAGCCTATATTCGTTGCCAATAACTCTCCTCCTCAGTTTGTCCTTCTGATACAGATACTTTGCTTCCACTAACACATGCACATGGTGGTTGCAAATTGTGGGCTTGATTTGCTACAGCCACATATTCCAATAACAAAAACATTAACTTAACCAGTTACAGGAGTCTTGAGTCTAGAAAGTAGTTAGCCAGGGGTTTGACTGTGCATGTTGAAGCTCCACAAGTTATTAGGAGCTAATTATTAAGAATTTGTTTTACTTGATTCTAGGAGATTAAGCTAGCTAACTCATGTATTTAGAATTGTTATTAAAAGTGAACAAACACATTGATCTTCTCTTTATTTTCTACTTTCAGTGCTATCTCCCGCTACGAGATAACCATCTTCATTTCCTCTATAGCAATGTCAATCCAGCTGAACTCCATAGCTCAAGGGAAGAAGTCTTAGTCCCATTTGATACCTATTAAGATGGTAAAAGAGCAACTTGATCTGGGAATGGCAGAGGAAACTAGTGCAGCATAGTTGGACAAAGATATTAATGCATTACAGTCATCCCAGTTAGATCTGCAAGACACCTCATGGCAACAAGGGGAAATGTTAGAAAGAATCCTCAAGCAGATTGAAGGTTTACAAGTGAGCTTTAGTGACCAGAATCGATAAACTAGTTGAATCTAACCATGATTTTGGCCAATACATTGGAACCCAAACATGCACTATGGAGCGAAACTTTCCCTTTTTTATGGGAAGAATCTCACCAGCTGGATATTCAAGGCCATAGTTTCAAGGCACCAAGGTGAGGCTACATGACAAGGGGGGAAACTTATTGGCTAGGAGTCACCTAGGCAACGGATTTTTTTATAAAAATCATGAATCCTTGGGTAATTCCCTAGGTTCCTCAGCAACTAGCAACCATCTTTCACTTGTAATTATCTATAATCTCCATTATACAAGTATAAACTTTGTATTAGAACATAAAAAATCAACATATTCATGAGAAGGGAAAAAAAGAAAAGAAATTTCAGAAAATATAGGGGCTGAGCCCCTATTTTTGTCCTAGGAAAAGAAGAAAATAAAGGGTGGAAGAAGAAAAAGAAGAAAGTTTTACATTCTTCCTCACTTGACAATTCAGGTTTTGAAGCTTTGGAGAGTTGAAGTGATGGTGGCCAATGATGAAAGATTAACAGGCAGCAAATGACAAGGAGGTCATCATACAGACACAAGAGGTTTCCATTCAAGCAGACTCATTCCTACTCTCATTTAGAGGAAGCAATGCAGTTATGGGGGTTCAGTGGCCCAGTGGCCCCAAACACTAGAACCAATGATCTAGGATTTTGCCACTTTATCACTACATTTCAAGGAGGCCAACAACCGGCATGTGTTGAAAGGCATATCAGCAATGAAGCGGGAAGTGATGGGCCTGCAACAGATTACTAGGGCCCAGGATTTGAGAAGTTCGGGCAAAGTGTGCATCCAAACTATTCAACATAGAAGTGATGGATAAAGTGAAATTGCAAGACCCAAAGCTTCAGCAATTCCTTGAACAGTTCAAGGATGGATTCTAGGAACCTGTGGAGCTACCTCCACCAAGGTCATACGATCATCACATGCCCTTGGAGGAAGAGGCCGAGCCAATAAGCATGAACCATACATGAACCCCTATTTCCAAAAAAAAAAAGTGAAATTGAAAAGATTATTAAAGAATTGTTCACAGGTAGGATAACTTAGTCAAGTATAAATGCATCCGATTATCAAGTTTAATTAGTATAGAAACATGGTGGTGCAACTCAGGCATGTTGGGTCAGGTTGATGATCAACCCAAACCCACCCAAAGACTCAAAACTTGGGCTTGAACCTAGCCCAACCCTAGGTCAAGCTGGAGTTTACCTAACAGCCCCCCCCCCCGCTGAGCTTAACCCAACAAAACTTGGGCTCAGGCAGGTCGAACAAGTTTGAAGGTATTTTTGAATATTTTTTTACAAACATTTTTATTAGGTTTTCTATCTAAATTTAGTAGTAGAATGGATTGAAAGTATGAATAAACGCCATTGATAAATGCATATATAAATATAGTATACATGCATATGTATATAAGGCCATTACCCAACATAGGGTGTTGAGCCCAAGGTAACCTTTCATTAGAACACTGCCCAGAACAAATTTTCCCTCACAGTCCCTTGTTTGGCTAAGGTATCAGCTAGTCCATTTTCTGACCTTCTTGTCCACTTGAAACAAGCACTGATCTCCCTTGTTATGCTAAGGATTTCCCTTGTCAACTTTCTATGTGTCCTGGCTCCCAAACAACCTGACTGCAACCATTCAATTCGCAATTCAGTCTCCTTTATCTCAATTTGGTGTAACTATCCATGCTGCATAGTGGGCTTTCCCATTTCCACACTCCACTTATTCCTCTAAAAATGCGCCCACAATGCCAAGTCCCTTCACTATTTTTCCTTATCCACCCCACTATATTTTTAGAATCTCTTTCCACTTCTATGTTACTCAAGTCTTTTACTCAGTTGTAATCCTTGTAGAACAACCATCATCTCACAGCTATTGTGGAGTCCCCATGGCCTATGGGACCTGAAAAAAGTGTCATCACAGCTCCACTGTTGTCTCTGATCACCTCACCAATGCCCAATATACCTGGATTCCCCAAAAAGCATTCATCACCAGCCTCTAGGATTACTTATAAAAACCATCCATAATCCTCATAAAATCAACCTTGATCATGTGTAAACACTTTTTAAAGAAAGACATAGGGAATCCATCCACCCCAAGGACTTGAACCATTTAAACCTTGCAAGTCCCACTATCCCTCCTCCATGAAGCCCCTCTCTGATCAATCATACTTCATTGTGATTTGATTGAATTATAACCCATCCAGCCAAGTTCTAGAGTATCCCTCATTTGAGAATAGGTGTTTATAGTAATTAACAGTAGCTTGACTCACCTCATTGTCACCTTCAAATATCACGGTCCCTTGAGATGAAAAAATATTAAATTATCAAAATTAAAAATGCATGTATTCAAATTAAAATTACAAAATTTATATCATTCACAATATTTGATATTAGTTAACACTAAAATAGCAAGACACCTAAGTTCTTGAAAATCTAGAGTTTCTCAAGTCACTGGATGAGTCCAGACTCCAGACCCCATTAAAAAAACATAAAAAAAGGCAAAATGTTCCGACTTGTAGAAGGATTGAAATCATTACCTCATTCTCTAGGAGTTCAATTTTGGCAACAGCTTTTTCGTGCTCCTCTTCAAGTTCTCCTAATATTGATTCCACAACTGCACTATCCCTAATAGCTAGCTGCAACCGTTCTTCAAGTTCTTTCTTATCCCACATAAGACTCTCCAGCTGGATTTGCATCTCATCTAGATGAGATCTTAGCTGCATATGATCCAGAAGAATCTTGTATAAGAAATATATCAGAAAAAATATGCAAGTTATTATGTCAAGAGTTCAGGTATTAGCAACACATCAAGATCAAGATAAAACACCTCCTCACCAGTTGAGGACACGGTAATCAGCCCATAACAAATGGAAATTCCAAAACAACACAAAAAAGAAGTTTAAGAGTAGTACAACAGATACATTCATAAATACAAATTGGTGCAGTAAATCTTGAAATCAATTATTCACATCTCATTTTATGGCCAGTTTACATCTCACTTTTCTGCATGTCACTATTACAACTTTACAAGGAAGTTAGAAGAAAACATCATGAGGTTCTGAACAATTTTAAGAGCACATGCCAGAAACGAACATATTTGACAACAGCAAGATGAGTTAAAAATTTGATGGAGAGTATGGAGCCATTAAGAACGTCAAAATTTGAATCACATTGATGGTTTTCAAGTGAACATGGAAAGTTAAGTGCTCTGTATATAAAACTGTCTAGTGCAGTAGTGTTAATTAACAAAGTCTAGTTGAAGTTTCTGAGGCATTGTTAATAAGACCGAAATGAAAAAAAAAACAATTATTAGCATACTATATATATTTTGAGATTTCTGGTTCTGCCTCAAAAACCATCTCCAATTTTTCTCAGCCAATTATTTGGCCCAGCTAGAGGAATTCTACTCTACCACTCCATTTTGCCTAGGCTCCACCTGTAAGATCACATTACATCAACTTTCCACCCAAATCCCTTTTGGCCTTCATCTTTCTACTTTTAGGGACTTAACTACCACCAAGCCATTTTCATTTATGCATTCCTTGGTCTTCAATGCACTTGACCAAGCCATTAAGTCCCCACAACATGTCAGCTGTTTGGTCTAGCAATATCAATTCCCACAAAGGCACTCATTTCTAAATTTGCTACAAAATTTGTACAATGAGAAACTGTACAAAATTTGCTACAAAAAGACCTCAAAAAAAAAGGCCACCCTCAAAAAAGTACAATCATTTGTGTCCTCTTTAAAACCTGTGTGTATAGACAACCAGCTCCTAAGGAGCTCTATAGCCCTGTTAATGACCTCAGCTTCCAAGGAGGCTTTCTGTTCAAAGGTCCTGCTGCTCCTTTCAGCCCAAACTGCCCACAATATAGCCAAAGGAATGGAGGACCAGCATAATTTCCCCTTCTTTGTCATTCCAACTATGTGCCAAGCCTCCAAACACGATCTAACTGAGGCTGGCATACACCAGCTTACCTTTAAGTTCTTTAGAAAATAGTTCCAAATCATGCTAAAAACTTGCAATGAAGAAACAGATGATTAACTGATTCCATCTCCACACTGCACAGGCTGCAACTCAAGTCATTGCACATAAAACCTTTCTTCAGCAGCATCTCTTTTGTGAGGCATTTCTCTAAAGCTGACACCCAAACAAAAAATTTGATTATAGAGGGTGCCACTGTTCCCCAAATGGCCCGGTTAGGAAAAGGAACTTGATTTCCTTTTACTAAAAAAGCTGTAGAAGGATTTAACTGAGAACTCTCCTGATTTATTCCACTTACACACCCTTGAATCCTGACTTTGCAAATTCAGAGTCTGCTCTTGGAGCATAGCTAGGAGATTTCCTACTTGCTGAATCTCCCAATCATTAAAATCCCTTCTGAAAGAGGGGGTCCAGCATATGTTGTCTCCCCTCTGCACATAAGAATCAGCTACTACTACCAGCACCTCTTTGTCAATTTCCAGATTAAACAGAGTTGGAAATAGCTCTTTGAGGGAGCTCTCCCCAGTCTAAGGGTCCAGCCAAAATCCGATCCTTCTACCATCTCCTATTTTGAACCTGATGCAGCATCTTAACTGAGAAGTAGCTCTCTAGATTCCTTTAATCCTGTTGAGTGGGCCGATTTATGTTTAGTTTGTTTTCTTTTAAATTAAGAAGTTGTTGGGCCTTGGGCCCATTAGTTTTTATTTTTAAAAGAATTGTAAGTACTTAGTTTGAGTTGCCGCCCTACTAGGGGCATCTTTGTAATATCTCATATTTAAGTTAATTATAAATAGAATGAGGGGCTGGCGGCTAGGGTTATGAATCACTATCCTAGTTGACCTTCTTCTCCTTTTCTTCCCTTTCCTCTGTCTATTGCTGAAACCCCCAACTTTCTCCTCTTCCTTTCACAAGAAGCTTGGCTGAATCAGCACATAAGGCTTTCTACTAATCCTTTCCATAGGCTGCATCCATAAGACCCAATAGGAGGACCACTATCCCAACCATTACCGTCCAGCCCAAATTTCTCAGCTATTACCTTCCTCCAAAGGTTGTTTGGTTCAGCATCAAACCTCCAGTACCAACTGCCTAATAAGGCTGTGTTGAAGGACTTTAGATCTCTTATTCCCAAGCCTCCTTGTGAAAGGGGTTTGCAAATCGGATCCCAATTCACTAGGTGATACTTGTACGAGTCTTTCCATCCTACCCACAAAAAATCTCTCATCTTTTTTTCTAAAGCCTCCACCACCTCCGAAGGGACTGGAAAAAGAGAAAAAAAATAGGTCGGCAAGCTGGCTAAAACACACCTTAATAAGAGTCAACTTCCCTCCTTTGGTAAGGTACCTAGCCTTCCAAGTAGCCAGTTTTTTATCCATCCTCTCTAAGATTGGGTTCCAAATGGTTTTTGATGTGTACTTGGCACCAAGTGGCAGCCCCAAATAAGTTGTGGGTAGAAGACCTACTTTGCAGCCCAAAAGATCAGCCAGACTCTGAATGTTAGAGACTTCACCCACAGCAATCATTTCACTTTTTGCTAAGTTCACCTTTAACCCAAACACAATTTCAAACCAAAAAAGCAGATGCTTTATGTTAGTGGTGTTAGTGAAGGGGTATTTCAGTCTTTGTACTTGTTGAGAATGCTGATGTGTACTGTTATGTTAGTTCGAGTGCCTCTTACTTA